TCAATTGTTCCCGTGGGTTTCTCCAACCTGGTACAGACCCCTTCGCTCTTCATTCCTCCCTCTCTTCAACTAAATTCCAGATTTCAGCTCAGTGTATTTCTGTGGATGTCTGTCTCTGCTTCCATCAGCCACTGGGTGAGGGCTCTCGTTGCGGATCGGTCGGAGGAAAGGGAAGGAAGCACATGAACAGATTCTTTCTTTCTTTCTTTCTTTCTTTCTTTCTTTCTTTCTTTCTTCCTCTAGACGGGTTTCTCTGTGTAGTCTTGGCTGTCATGGAACTCTCTGTAGACCCTCAGACTCATAGAGATCTACCTGCTTCTGCTTCGCGAGTGTTGGGATTAAAGGTGTGCTCCAGCAGATCCAGTGAACTGATTCTAATGTGAAGCCAGCTTTTGCTGCATAGTGAGACCCTGCCTTTAAAAAGGGAGAGGAAAGAAAACAAAGATATGTTGCTCTAACTATGCTGTGCCCTTTGAAGTCTTGATAAATACACATGCCAGATTGGACTCCCAAAGACGTGGACTATAACTACTATCGAACAGCTAATACCCCTTCCCCACCACCTAAGTGCCCTGACTTTTCTTTCAAAAGTGAAACTGAGCATTAGAACAAAATGAAAACAGAAAGGAAAAAGGGACTGGGGGAGGAAGGAGAGAGGAAGGAACAAATGGCGAAAGGAAGGACAGTCATTGGTTGCTGCAGGGCACCGAAGGGTGTTGTGACAGAGAGAAGGCACACCAGTGCCCTCTGGGTGGCTCCTGTCCTGGGATTTATATACCAAGGCTACAGAGGGCCAGAGTGGTCCTGGAGCAGAAGGAAGAGCCTTAATGCTCCAGTGAAGGCTTTGTCCTGCCCTTGCCTAGCCTTACGTGGGTTTATAGAGCTCAATTAGCTTCTGTCCTGGCTAGTTTTCTTGTCAGCTTGACACAGGCCAAGGGAAGAGGGAGCCTCAACTGAGAAAGCGACTCTGTCACATTGTGCTGGAAACAAGCATTTTCTTGATTGATTGATGGTCTTAGTGGGAGGATCCGGACCATGTGGGCCTTGCCACCCGGGGCAGTGGTCCTGGCTTGTGTAAGAAGCTGGGATGAGCAGTCCACGAGGAGTGAACCAGCAGGCAGTGTTTCTTCAGGGTCTTCACTTTTGTTCCTGCCCCCGGGTTCCTGCCTTGAGCTCCTGATCTTACTTTCCTCCCTGATGGGGTAGAAACAGTAAGCAGAAATAAACCCTTTTTTCCACAGCTGGCTTTGGCTATGGTGTTTACCACAGCGATAGAGAACAGAGTAAGAGAGCATCCAAGCATCAGGATCATGGTTTAGAAGGGGGTGGGGGGTGTCCTGAAAAGGAGGTACCATAAGCAGGTCCATCTGTACTGTGAAGAGCCCCGGCACTCCTTACCCTTCCCTCCAGCCAGCTGCCCAGAAGATTTGCCCTGCCCTCTCTGCTGCCCCTCCCTCCCATCCGGTTTACAGGCCAGTAGCAGCCACTGGATCCCCAAGGCCCAAGGGCCCAGGCTGTGGTGGCCACATTCCAGGGCTCCCTAGGGAGGGGAGATTCCATCTTGCTAGAGCTGGGCAGGGCCTAGGAGTGTTTCTGTTCCAACCTTTCTGTGAAAGATAAGGAAATGAAACCAGAGACAGTGGCCATGCCCTTCTTCATGCCACACGGGGAATCAGTGGCAGACCCAAGAACTACCTGGGATCTTCTGTTCTTTTCTTTTTCTATTTCTTTTCCTTCCTTCCTTCCTTCCTTCCTTCCTTCCTTCCTTCCTTCCTTCCTTCCATCTGTCCTTCCTTCCGTCTGTCCTCTCTTTCTTTTTTTTCTTTCTGTCTCTCTCTGTCTGTCTCTGTCTCTCTTCTGCTTGTTTTAGTAACAGGGTCTTACTGTGTGTCCCTGGTTGTCCTGGAACTTGCTCTGTGGATCAGGCTGGCCTCAATCTTACAGAGATTTACCTGCCTCTGCCTCCAGATACCATGCCTTGCTTTGGGATTCTCTTTCCTCTTATATACAAAGGGAAACTATGTCCAAGTGTGCGGAGGCTCAGAGGTCCTCTTGGTAGAGAGTGAGGCACCCAGGAAAAACCCTGGACTCAACTTGGGAATTTGGAAAACACTAGTTAGGAGTCTGGCTGTCATATGACACAGGGCACAGTGGCAGGGAGAAAAGTCCTGAGTGCCTGGGACTAGCCCAAGGTCATCTTGTCAGCTTCCAAACAAAGGCTGGAGGTTGTTTTATTTTTATTTGTAATTTTTTATTTTTTTGACAGAGTTTCAATACATAGCTGATGCTGGTGTTGAGCACAGGTTCCTGAGAGCAAACTGCAGGTGTTTGCCACCACATCTGGCTTCCACAGTATTCTTATTTAAGGACACACTGGGAAGACTTTCAACAGAGAGTTCACTTTTATTCCCCACCTATTTTTAACCCATCAAAATGGAAATTCCATAAGATCACTGGTGGGGAGTGTGTGTGTGTATGTGTTTGTGTGTTTGTGTGTGTGCGAGCGTGTGCGCAGACAGGCAGAAGTGGGGCAGGTGAGTCACTGTGGCCACCCTCAGGGCATGGGGGTGGGGCTATGATCTGGGACAAGAAGGGCTGGGCCTCCATTAGTCATAGGATGTGCCAATCATATTGCTTTGTCAGGTAGCTTGAACCTAGAAGTACCTTTCCCACTGATAGCAGGAACCTATGCCTTAGGACATACTGAATTTAGAGAAAAATTATTTGGCCTAAAATTAAAAGCATCATGTGTTAAAAAGAAGAACTTTGTTGGGCAAGGTGGCACACACCTTTAATCCCAGCACTCAGGAGGCCGAGGCAGGCAGGCAGATCTCTGTTAGTTTGAGGCCAGCTTGGTCTACAAAGCAAGTTCTAGGGCAGTCAGGGCTACATAGTGAGACCCTGTCTCAAAAAAAAAAACAAAAACAAAAACAAACAAACAAACAAACAATAAAACAAAACAAAACAAACAAAAGTAACATTACCACCAACATCAAGAGGAGCCAGGCCCAGGTATTCTTAACCCCACCAAGCAAGTATAAGACCTCACCACATTCTTGAGCCAAATTTGAAGCAAACTATTAAATACCAGCCAGGATGATGGACACTGCCCAGGTCCATCTCCAGGATTCCCAGAGAAGGTCACAAACTACATTAGTCTGGTGCTTAGACAAACCTCACAAAGCTATGCACTTCCCTCCCTCCAATCAGGGGCAAGCTTATATCCTGACACACTTCCTCCCTACAGTACCTCCCACCTACATGTGACCAGGCACATTCTGTGCAGCTGGGGCAACCAAGCTTATTTACAGAATCGAAAACACATGGCTTTCTGTTTTACATGGACAATAGTCCCCAGCATTCTAGGAAGTTCTCTGTCCTTGGGTAAGTGGGGCTTACAGGTTAGAAGCTTACAGGTTAGAGGCATTTTGTTTTATAGATCTCTTAAGCACAGTAATTTAAATTTAAGACATAACTTCAGCCATCACAATGTTACCTTCAAAGAGGAGGGTTCATTCTTTCTGGACTGTGAGCCTCCCCACCAGAAACACACAGGAACACATGTTGTCTTCTTATGATCTTCATAGAAAATGGCTTCAGCTGCAACTCCTAGATTTGTATCAGTGACACAGGGCAGCCCAAAGAGCCCTCCTCAGACCACAGTGTACACCTGAGACCTGGGACTACTCTTTGACCAATCTGAAGGTTGTGGCCATTTAGAAATCTGAATTATCTTCCATAACTATTGGATGTTTAAAATCAAGAATATTTCAATTTGGGATGTGAGTTTCTGTGCCTACAGTTGATTTTTAACTCAGTTCCAGACAATTTGTGATACAAACAAGGCAGAATCTGGCATATCAAAGACAGTTTGGTACTGTATTAGCTTTGTGCTACTATAACAAACAGCTGGGATGAATCGGCTTATAAAGCAAAAAGGGCTCATTTTGGCTCACAGTTTTGGAGGTCCCAGAGCATGATTGGTTAGCCCCTGTGCCAATCATATTGATTGCCAATCAGATTCCACTGACTCTGTGGAACTGTCTTGAGGGCAGCTCATGTTTGAGGAAATGGGGAGAGAGAGCCTGCCACCCCCTTTAAGGCATAGCCCCAGTGATCTTTCCTTCTTCCTAAGGGCTGGGCCAATCTTCTATTAACGCCATGTGCCTTTGGAGAAAATTTCAGGTCTATCACAGGCACTGATGTTGAAATGCATCCTCAAAGAAGTGCCTTGTCATCTAGGTGGTCAGCCCAGGGAGACGGAGTCACCCTCACAGGCCAGAAGCTGGAAAAGTCAACCATACCCTCAGGCACAGGCTTCAGAGACATCTGGGGAAACCGATGTGTGATTCACATGCCTTCATCATGGCTCTCATCTTAAACTGTGATTTCGTTTCCTCTAAACAGCTCAGCAGTGTTTCGGATCTGTGACTTTGAGGCCATCCAGGGGCAGTTCAGGATTGGGAAAGAAAGGCTGTCTCTGTTTCTTTTTGAAACTCAAGCTCACGTACAGCTGGATACCTGCCTTTCCATGGTCCCAAAAACTGGCCCCCACCCAGCCTCCATTCCATTCAATGCATTCAAGTTGCTTATGCTATAGCAAGAAGGTGTAACCAAGTAAGCACATTCATCCTAGTAAGACCTAGGTCTGAGGATGCCACTTCATGACTTCTCCAAGCTTCTACAGCCAAGACATTTGACTCATTAAAACACACTGCTGGGGCACTTGCTGCCACAGCAGAGGACTTTGGTTTGATTGCCAGTGTGCACATGGTGGTTCACAGTCATCTGTAACTGCAGTTCCAGGGGAATCTGACACCTATTTCTAGCCCAGGGGAATTTTTTTTTCATGTGGTGCACTTACATACATTCAGGCAAAACACTAATGTGCATAAAATAAAGGTAAATAAATAGTTTACAATATTTATAAAAACAACTAGAACTAAAAGCAAAACAGTAAAAAAAATTGCAGGCTATGCACACTGCTCTTCATGCACCCTACAAACTGGTCACAGTAGAGGGCACGGCCTGGAAGGAATCTTGAAGTCTTCGTCACTTTCTCTACCACCTCTCACTTGTAAGGAGCCTGAATAACCAGGTCTCCAGTCCTCATCCCTCTGAAAAGGACTCCATAGGAAGTTCACCCCAGCCCCGTCTCTATCAACTTGACTAAACTTTTCCATCTCTATCAGGTTAACTCACCCTCCCATGTTTAGACCAAGTGCTTCAAATCGGCCTCTTACTAATTAATGCTCAAATCAGGTGACTGTCGAGCTTGGTCCTGACACTGGCAGGCAGCTTGGAAGCATGACCCAAATGCCTGTCTGGTAGGTAAGCCTCCTCAGGCCAGGAGCCTTTTAGCTGGTTGCTGTGTGCTTGTCATGCAAAGCACCAAGATAAGTGGCCTAGTAGTA